AGAAAAGAAGTTGTGGTAAAAATACCGTGAACTTCAAAATAAATGCGAAATGAAAAACTATTTTAAAAACGATCTTATTTTTTTTCAATTTATTCAATAATTGAATGATATTGAGTGGGAATGAAATTTTCAAAAATTTAACAAATTCTTAATTCTTGTCATTTCTTAAAGAAAAAATATTTTATGTGGCCAACGCATAATCGGAAGCAGGTTGTATTGTTTTACAAAATATTACGTTGAAATGTTCTTCAAATGTACTTTCAAATTTCAAAGGTGCGGAAATTAGTTCTTGTAGCAAAAAGAATTTAAATATTAAATTTCAAGAAATGTTCAGTTTCCCCAAAAAATTTCATAAGTTCATTGTTTTAACACCCTGAACTTAAATATTAAATTTTAAAGAAAATGGCTATTTCTTTCTCCGTATAAGGCTGACTTGATTTCTGCGAAAAGTTAAAGGGCTTGTCGTTCCAAGCCATTATATAAAATTCCAACTTGATTTGTTAAGCATTTTCATAAAAATGATTAAAAATATGGTCTCGGGGCCGGTATTAAAGATATTTTTTTTAATGAGATTTGGGGTATTACACAGGTTGATCAAATCGTTTCGTCCTCGATATTTACACTTACGTACCATTGAAAAACTAAAGTTAAGATTTTTTTTTGATGGGTCATTTAAAAATTAATTTTTCATGCTTATTAGTGATCCTCGCTCAAAATATATTGTTTTTATTCATGTCCCATTATGATTATATTCCGGCTCCCTTAAAAGTCTATAAAATATTGAAGTTCTATAAAGTTATCGGATAAAAATATGAACTGTGTATTAAATATATTGTCTGTAATCTACGGACAAATGCTGTTTTCAAATTTAATATCATTGTTGTTTCGTTTGAACTTGTACATTACATGCTGAAATATTAAGTTTAAACAATCTACAATGATATTTTCATATTAATTTGTATTCATATTCTATGATAAATCCTATAGCTATATTTTGTTCTTAAATTCATTTAAACATCCTAAATTTTTTATTGGTGTAAAAGCAGTAAAAATTTTAGACCAAGTTCAAAAATTATTGAATGCAGTTGTTTAAATTTCATCTAATAATTTATTTTACTTAATTGCATTATCCGAGATCTGAAATTTAATAAAAGTTAGATTGGACTATTTTTTGTTACATAATTTTTAAATTAAATAAATCGAAATAAATGGAGCTGTATTTTGGTAGCATTTAATTAAAAAAATTCCCAACATTTATACATCTAAATGTTTACATGTACGTCCAAAAAGTGTATTATTATATCAATTTTTTAAGTGAACATTTTACTACTAGGGAGACATTTAGCTTAAATGGGACTATCTAGCATCACCCACAACACAATTTGAATATTAGAAATGGTAAAGATTTTTTGTTCCATTTATTGTTTTTGCGTTTTTATTTAAATGAATGCATTTTTCTTGTTTAACATTGAATCAAATTGCAAAATTTTAATTGACCTTTATATTTTATATACTAATATATGATATATGTATCTCATTACTAATATGTGATGTATGCATATGCATTATTTTAATTTCAAAATATCATTCATAAAATTTTACCGGTATATTTTTCAATATTCGTATAGATTAAACAAAATTTTTTTCGTTTTAATATCTAACAGTTGAATGAAAACAAAACGATTCATTGTTAAATACATACATAGCTACACCTATAGTGTACCCGATTATAGCACCACATTAATGCAAATTCTTATTATAAGACATTTAAAGTGTGCTTCTCAACTTTTTCATTACAGTATTAAAGTTTTTAACATTAATTTTTATTTTATTGGTTTCTATAATTAATCTGTATATAATAATATATAATAACTGAAACTAGTATTTAACGATCATCTTACATACATACACAGTTACATTACAAAACGATATATGGCTCTTGTAAAATAAACAAAAATTAAATCTCAATTTTTTTACTCTCTACGATCATATTAACATGAAACTCAAATTTATATTTTGAGTAATTTTAATTATTAATTTCACTCAAAATTCTGCCACAATCTCGGTTTTTCTGCTTTCACCTTATATATCCACAAGAATAATTATATATTCTTAATTTTAAGAAGAAAAACTCAAGCTAATTTTTAAAACTACTCTTCAATACAACGAAACAAATTTTCTATAAAATAACTTTTTTTAATTCATATTCTTTCTATTTTTTTTTTGTTTTTTTTTTTTTGAAGTATTCGTTTTTGACTTGTTTGTATTAGCCTTTCTCGTGCATATTATACAATCTGAATGAAATCACATATTACATGTATACTTATGAAAAATTATTAACATTCAAGTAATTGAAAAATAGATTGTTATAATCATTTTTTGCTAGTGAATTCTACTTTTTCTATTCAGTCCACAATAAAGATAACCAAATGCACAGCAATTGTTCTTTCATTTTTAAAGAAAAATAATAATTTTGTTTACACCAAGTGCATTTACTGCATAAATAAATTAAAATAAAATATTTATTCTAAAACCTAACATGTTTGCCATCAACTTATCAACTTTACCCCGAAATACTCACACTGGGGTCCGTTTGACCACAACATAATTTAATTTATTGATTTTTCTTTCAAAATTAGTGTAAACGATTCTAGACGTATATGTAAAGTTTCTTTTTTATTATTAATCTACGAGGAGAAGTTTAAAAGTATACTTAGTTTTCATATAAAAAGTATACTTTAAAAGTATACCTCTTCACGAAAATATTCAAAAGAATAACCTTAAAGTTACTTTGGTGTTTTAGAGACCTCAGTGTGAATAATGTGTAATGTGTACTGATTATCTTAGGGACGTACGCCAATTGCATAAAGTAAACAAACCTTTAGGAGCAAGCAAAGTCCCGAAATTTATACTCTCCATTTCAATACTTCATTTTGTAAGTTTTGATAGTAAAACTGATAGTTTCTTTTTGTAATTCTGCTAAAGCACGAAACTAAAGTTTTTAAACACATTGAAAAAATGAATTTTTTAAGAAAAACAAAATCTTTGAAAAAAATTAATTAATGAAATCGAAAAAAGTAATAATGCTTTAAGATAAACATGTAGTAACATTTTGCGACAACAGCAAAAAAAGCCAGAGTTAAATATCCAAATTTATATCTTTCTTATATTTAAATAAGCATATATGTATAAATTTTTGTAATATTTCCTCAAAATCCATTTTAGTTTTGTTTTAATATTGTAGTTATATAATATCATAATTTTGTAATTTATTGGTATCAGTTTTTTTAAAACTAGTGACAGCTGGCAAAGCGCCCAAATAAACTTCGCATTAGGTCTATAACTATTTTGCTCACTTTCAATTTATTTGCTTTGATGAGAAAGCTTTCGAAGTAAAGCAAGCGAGATTATCACCCTAACGGTCGAAATTAAATTTTCATACTTTCATACTCGAATTCAACAATTTCAAAATGACAATTTAAAATATTTGAAAACATTTTTGTATTCGTTGAATTATTTTTTTTTATTTATTTATTATTTCTCAAAGGAGCTCTAATGTGCTCATTCAGAGTATCATTTATAACAATATTTAAAAATTATTAACATATAAAACAATTCAGCCCTTTTCCCACTCACCACGATTCGTTAATCGACCTTATTCACTACTTAAAAAAAAATAATCGCGATCGATACTCGAAAATATTTCACTAGTTTATAGCACGCATTCAAAAACCTGCAAGGTTGAATTGAAGTACGCCAAGCTAAAAAAGTTTTACTTTTTCCCGCTTAATAACTATCTTGCAACCAATTTCCACGTTTGTTTGCAGGTGTTACTTAAAATAATATCCGACTATTGAATTCCAAAACGTATACATATACATATTTCTACTATTATGATTCCATTCGATCCCTGAATCAACAAAATTTAGCACTACGAGTACAAGTACACTCGTTTTTTGACCGTATGTTCAGTAAATAAAGTTAAAATTTTAAACTAGATCAGTTCAATATTTTTTAAGTTTTACGGCAACAAATGGAATCTAGATCTTCAATTTCCATTTGTTCTACATACATTCATTAAACATATATATAATTTTACATTATATATAATTATACATACATATGTATATTATATATTGTAGAATAATGGAATTTACGTTCAACTTTATAGTTCTACATAGTTGTGTAATGAATACAAACTTATGTAAAACTATGAAAATAGAAGGAGGCTATTTTATTTAAATAAATGACCAAACTTATTTTTTTTAATAAAATAGTACTTCTATTTAAATAGCTATTAAACTCGTAGAAATCTTGTAGCCGCAATTAATTATGAATTACGTGTGCAACTGCTAATCAACGACTCAATGTACAAATTTCCAATTTTATTAATTCATCCTAAACTAAACAAGTGCAACTGCATTTTCTCTCAATTCTATAATAATATGAAATTAAAACAAAAAAAGAACAAATTGTTCTTTATTCTCCCCAGTGAATTTCGTTCACTTTTAATTTTTCTCTCCGCTCTTACAAATTATTTTATAGCATGTACAGTCATTTTAGTTATCATTATTACTTTTTCTCATACATTTATTGTAATATAACATAGCTAACTAGTTACCTTACGTATTTATTTAACAGACTTAAAGCCTCTTAAAACATTCTATCGAATACATTATTTTGTGAGAGCATATTATAACTAAAATTGAAACAAAAACAGAAAAAAAAAAACAATAAAAATAATTTAGTAAACGTAATACAATCCCATATAGAGGTAGCTAGTGAACTGTTTGAACTGCTTGCTTCAGTTGTTTATTTTCAATGTATTCGATATAACAATGAAATGACAATGAGAGTATTGTAATAACACACAACAAAAATGTTAAAATACTAAAACCTATACTGAAATTTTACACAACACTGTATACCAAAGAGTTTGATTTAATTTACAAAAAATTTTAAGCTAAAATATCAGCAATCAGTATCGTTTGGTTAGTTAGTTGTCCATAGAAACTACTACTATTAGGTTCGGTTCAAAATAAAGTAATATAATGTCGACGTTAGAACAATTTTACTAAATTTTTTTGGTTAAAAAAATAGTAATAAAAATTTTATTTAAAGAAAAAGAAACAACAACAATAAGTTATACTAATATTTTTTTAACCTGTTCAAAAAAAAAAAGTACAAACATTAAGTGTCGTTTGAAAAAGACGGGCGTCGTCTCTAGTCAATTTTAAATATTGTATTAAAGTTTTGTAATTTAATGAAAAAGAAATCTTGTGTATTAAGAAAACAAAATTATGCTTAAGTATAATTATTCAAAAATTTAATAAATATAATAAATTGTTAGTTTTAAAAATATTTTTTCTCTATTACGAGTATAGTATAAAATTATTAGAAAGTGAATTCTTTTTATATATTTATGATCACTATTGATCATACAGTACAAATTTTAAAGAAAAAGAAGAGAAGAAAAAGACAAAAGAAAAAACTAAATTCCATACCTTTAAAAAAATATACCTGAATATACCTGTTTGATAATGTATGGGTGAAATATAATATAAATATACAATACATAAATAATAAATAAAAACAGACTGAAAATAAATGTTTTGTATTGGTTCTCAATTTTTTAGAGGCATGAATTGGAAACAATTTTTTTTAACTTTTGAATTTCAACAATATAATATTGCAAATTAATAACAAGTGAATTTTAAAGGAATCTTATTTAAACAAAAAATAATCTATAATCTCTAAAGATCAAATTTTGGTTTTAATTTTGCATAAAAATGTACACATATGTATTTTTTAGTGCTTGCTGTTTTAAATCGGTCAAATTAAGCCAAGAATATATGAAATTATACTAATTGTTTAATAATTATCAAAATATTAAAAATAATTTGTAGTAATATTAAAAATAATAGCTGCTTTTATAAATTTCAATTGGCTAGTTATCCACATTAAAAAGAAATGAAAGTATACTGTTCCTAAAACGCTAAAGGCTAAACCAACATTTTCCTATATATTTTTAAAAAAACGTTTTATTTATTTTCTTCTGTTCCAGATTTTGGTTATTCATATTTATATAAAATATTTCATTTTAGTATACTTACATATATACATAAACACTAAGAAAAATGTTATAAGGAAATATTAATTCTTTGATTGCAATAAATGCAGCTTAAGACGATAAGACGAAATTGTCATTTCACCATTATTAAATTAGTGTTGTTTTCCTTTTCATACTTATAGAATATATGGACATAGCTATCTATTAATATTCCCAGTTTGAATCGAATTTCCATTTTGATCGAAAAAAAAATCGAATGTTGAATCAAAAACATCGAGTCTCACAAATATTTAAAATTTCGTAGGATTCAAAAAGTTTTACATTTTTTTTTTCTTTAAATTTTATTCTCTGTTTCTTTTAAAATAAATATAAACTAAACCAACCCTAATAAAACATAAAAATTTAATTAATTATGTATATTATATATGTTGTATAGTGTACTTGTTTCACATATTGCATTTTTATTTAATTCAATTATATACAGCTGTGAATTTATTAAAAGACTTTAATTTTATGTCCGAATCAGTTGCCAAAAAATTGCACTTTTTTTATTTTCGTTTTTTTCTATATTTCCGAAACCGTACAAGATCGACCACAGTACAACGCGGTCACTTGTCTTGAAATTGTGCGTCTACTCGGTTGACCCAAATCTGAATCTATAACTTTTCTTTTGTGGTTCGTCGTATACGAAATTGCTTATTTTTTCTTTTTATTTTTTGTAAATTGTTTCACAATCAAAATTTTTGTTTTTTTTTTATGTTTTATGATTTGATGTTGTAAAATACTTAATTTTATTTTATAAAATATAATTGAAAAAAATTATTACATAAGAATTTATTATGAAATAAAATATTGAAAGTCGTAAAAATTTTTTGAAGCAATAAATTTTATAATTTAGAAATTATTAGGAAAGTCAAAAGGGTTTAACAAAAAAGAAGGAGTAAAAATTGAAAAAAAAGCATTTTAATAAAAAAAAAGTAATTATATTTACTTATAATTAACATACTTATATTAATGTACATAAAAGTTAAATAGTGTTTAAAAAGTTAAAATAAATACAATTAATTATAAAATTTATTTAAAAAAATTATTTTAGTTTAATAAAAAATTTCAAAGAAAAAAATGTCAAAAGCATATCATTCACCTTCGGCACCACAAGACGATCAATTTTTTGTAAGGCAAAAACCACAACCATTTAATTTAAGTAGATTTATTTATAACAAAGCTGAAGGTACCTATCTCGGGCGGAATGGTACTTCATGGGGTAAGAAATTCTTAGATTTAGATAATATACATATTTATTTTTTAAAATATAATACATATATTTACGTAGTTGATAGTGTATTAAAATATGGAACTAAAAACATAATTTCTTTGATCCACCTTAAAATTCGAAATTTAAGAAAGAAAAATTCAAAATGGAAAAAGTTTTCCATATAAGAAACAAACTCAAGTATTTAAACACGATTTGTAAAATAAGTTTTCAAGAAAGCATCAAGTTAGTATGGAGAGTTCGAATAAGGGAAGTTTGACTGTATGTGACAAAATTTTTATAATTCCATGTCGTATTTGTTGTAAGAATTCATAAAAATTTTATTTACTTTATAAATAACATACAATTATTACATATAACATATTGTATGAAAGTTGAAAAATTATCAACCTTCATGCAATATGCATAGTCAAGTATCATAATGAACATCTCGTGTGCACTAAACTTTACTGAAAACAACATTAACTTCTTACAAAAAATTATGAAATTTAAGTAAACAATAAACAAGTAAATACATAAAGTAAGTGTGTCGATTAACTACAAAATAATTTTTTTCTGTTTTCAATTCACTTAAATACAAATTCAAAAAAAATAAACATTTACAAATTTTTGTTTTAATTATGAAATCACGAACAAATTGAGCAAACGAATGCATTTTTCCAATTAGAAATATTGCCGGCATACAATTATAAAATAATCTCATCACCGATTAATATTAGTAGGTATCTAAAACATATAATAAATCAAATCATCTTTGTGCATACATACAAATGTAAAATAGTTGTGTCTGTAATTATTTACTATATTCGTATAAGAAGAAACGGTTTAAGAAAAGCATAGTTCAATGTACATATGTAAACAAATATTCTATTGAATTTGAACTAAACACTAAGTTCATCTTAGGGAATAGAAAAAATTAAACAAATGGTTGCACATTTATATGGAAAATTCTCAGATTACAATATAAAATTTACCTGATTCTAATATTTTTATTTTCTTTAGTAAATAATCATCAAATATGTGCATTTGTATTGAACTAGAAAACACATTAATACATAACACATAAATAAATTTTGAGAATTCTAAATTTTTAGTTTTAGAAAAATATATATTTATATGTGCATGTATGTGTATGACCATATTATTCACTTTTATACAACAGCTTTTATTAACACGACCACTCATCAATAACGAATGTTATTAGCATACAATATGATAGTGTAATACTGTATTTAATAAAAGTACTAATTATTAATAAAGTTAATCCAGTCAAAGGTTTGTAAAGTAAGTCCATTCCCTTGAACAAGCAAAAATATTGGTCTTAATAAAGTTGGGTCAAACCAATGGTTTGTATTATAGCACTTTTTCCTTCAACAAGTGAAAATACTGCTTTGCAAAACAGTCGATGTATACCTACCACACTATTAAAATTATTTTCATTCATATACAAAACTATTTCTGGGATTGCATATATTTAGGATAAACAATTTATGCAGTTTTTAAAATAAAGCAAAAATTAATTTAATGAGGGGTTAACATAATGCTCAATTTTAAGGGTTAATTGCGTGAGTTAAGAAAAAAAATAATATTTTTTAGTTAGCTTTTATTATATATAAAAGCTGCTAAATTCACATTTCAGGCTCCTACATCATGGGGTCTAGAAGAAAAACAACATCAAAAATTTGAAAAAAAACGGATTTTATGTAACGGTAAATTTTAACGGCCATTTTGTTTTTTTAAAGTTCAAGTATAGTATGCCGTGATAAAAGAAGCATCCCACTGCTTTTCTGCGTTTGTAAAATTTGACAAATGCATATGGTTCACTATAGTAAACAGTTGAAAAATGGCATTTTTAGGGTTTTGGGGGGGTATAACCTTTAGAGGGGAGGAGATAGGTAAAAGTTATGTTCTAGGAAAATTAGTTTCTATGTACATATAAAATTTTAGGTTTCTATCTTCAAGGGTTTAGAAGTTTTGTAGACACACGGACGGACGAACGGACGGACTGAGTGAAACTAATAAGCACTTTTTTTCAAAAATTTTTTGGAAAAGTGCTAAAAACAAATTACTACATTATTTCAACTACGTTTATTCATATGCCAAAATGTGCAAATGATATAAATTTATTGCATATGTTAAGGATGAGAACAAAAATGGAAAGAAGGGTTAACTTAATGTTGAATTGGATGATTAAGTAAGTGAATTAAGTAAGATAAGTAATTATATGTATTATTTGATGGCATTCAACTTTTATGTACAAATTCGGAAGTGCTTCGGAAGTGGAAATATGAGACACCGAACACTCAAATTCTTCGAATTTCGCGTTGCGATAACTTGGGGGGGCCGCGGTTTATTTTAGAACAACATTTTCCTCTAACGAAATAAATTATTTATTCATATCTAAATGCTACTAAAACTTAAGACTTGCACAAGTTGCCGATATTCAACATTTAAGAAAAATGGGTTTTATATAACGATTAAATTCAACGCCCATTTTGTTATCGTAATATTTGACCGTGTTGTATCGCGCTAGAAGAAGCCAGGCAAATCAGGCACTATTGTGCATTTGCAAAATTTAAAAAAACTGTGGTTAAATGTGTAACGATTTATCGATTGACTATAATCTGCAATAAAAAATGTACAAAATAACGACAATAAGAATAAATCTTAGAATTTGCGTAATGCAGTTTTATTTAAAATAAATTAAATTTGTTGCAAGAACTATTTTAAGTATAGTATTAAACCAATTAAATGCTTATTACAAATGCTACAAAAGAATAAAAGAAACAAAATCAAATATCAAAAGTTCATTATTGAAATGTTTGTAATCCCTTTAAATACATTCGTAACAACAATTTAAAATTGAAAATAATAAAATTCCAAGAAAATCTGATACGATCCTACTATTGATTGATATTAATGCATAATGTGAAATGTTTAAAAACTGGAATATAACTATATACATGTATGTGTACATATATTTCTTTAAGAAGAAAAAGTAAAATTTTATTAAAATCTTTAATATTATTAAATACTTAAGTAATATTATAACACCTGAATTGTACTGTATTACTTAGGTTTTTAATTATTCGATTCATGTAGACAATCGTAAATACAAATAATTTTGTAAATATGGTAATATAATATACATGTTTACATTTTTCTCTGGCTTTAAAAATATTCCCCCATTTTTAACTTTAAATTTTGAATAATTAAGTTATGAATCATATTACTTATAAAATTGAAAGAAAAATTTATTACTGTTAATACAGAGTTCAAACTTACGAATCCATTATGTATGTGTGTGTGTACATAATTCACATGTTTTTAATAAGTTCTTTTTCTGAAAATCCACGTTTTACTACTACAAAATGCACAGCTATGCGTACATAGTACATATACTCATATGTATGAACTCGTCCATACATTTACTCACGCACACTTATTTGCCTCTTTCTTGTATATATATACATATATATTACTCTCAAATAAAATTTGCCTTTGTTTAAGAAATAACAGTAGCTACCTAACACATATACATTCTAACATAGTTGGGCGTAGGCTCTTTTTATGTTTTTCTCGTAATTTAATAAATAAACAATAAAAAAAATAATGCGTCAAGGAATTGAGCGATGCTCATCAATATTTCCTCTTATGTTCCAAAAAACTTATGTATTTAAATTTTATGAAGTGTATAAAATTTATTAAATAAAATCATAATATACAATAATAAAATCAATTCGAAATAACAAAATTAATTTAACTCCAGATGAAATGTCAACAATTAATGTATTGGTTGTATTAGAACAATATTTTTCATTTGATCAGAGGAATATTTTTAATATTCTGTGAACATGCTGAATTTACATACATACATACATAAATAAATTTCAATTTAACTCATATGTATGCATGTATGTATATATTATATGTATAAATTGTCAGAATTTATTAACTCAAAATTGGAGAAAGACCTGATTAAAAAAAAAACGCACTGAATAATAAACAATGCAATGAAAGACATGTATGTTAGAAGTAAAGCGCAAGCCCAGTTCGAGTTACAAAATTAGTTATAAATCGAATTATAAAATTTTTTAGCAATGTCCAGGAATAAAGAGATACGCCTGTCTCATTTTCAACGACCAATCCCAACACTCCTGCTGTCGCTATTTCATTTGTTTGAAAAATCCGCCTTTTCACTACCATATATGCACATATGCTGCGGGACGCACAATAGGCCAACCCTATTTCAACTACCAAATTCCACTAGCTCCTGTAGACACTCCCACACCAAATTCGATTTAATTTGGTAAGAGTCTAGTACCCGAGTCACTGTTTGACTATCCGAGAATACATTAATGGTTTTGCTCAGATATCCACTACGAATGTTTTCAAATACACAAAGACCTGTTCGTATGCCATTCGATATCCGCCTATCCTGAATTCCCAGACTTTAACTGGCAAATATAAATAACATGATAAGTAAACGATTACGTATGACAAACTCAATGTTTTCTATTTGAAAAATAAAACTTTTGCTAGCATTTTTGTTGAGAATTTTTTTTGCATTTCATTGGCAACATAATTTGTAATTTTAATGTCTTTTATGCACATGTATTTATGCCTTCTTCTTCTGCCTTAGCCTCCATTCGTCACGATCTCTAGTTTTTTCTTACCGTCGCGTTATTTTTTTTTATCCAAACTTCGGTCTACCTCTGTATCGGGAATGTAATGATTTTGCCTAGTAGATATTCTTTGTTGCTCTATTTGCTTTCATTCTGGTTAAGTTTCCCAGTCATCTTAACCTTTGTGCTTTAATGTATTTTGCAATACTTTCATTATTTATGAAATCCATTATTTGTCGATTTGACTAGTATTTTCCTTTCAAATATTCTTAATGTATTAATATTACATGGTGTTGGTGTCCTTTTTTGTGCATTATAAGTTACTATAGGACATAGGTTGTAACACTGTTTTATATACTGTCATCTTGCATAATATCGACAAAATTTTAGAACTGAATGGCTTCGCGACAGAATGGTAAGCTCTGTTAGCTGACATAATTGACACCTTCAAATTTATATTATTTATTGTTATTGACTGTTAAATTTTGGGTCGTTCTCCTAGTGTTAGACCTTAATTATCATGTACTCTCTTATTTTCATGTATATGCAGACCAACTCGTTTTGTTGATTTTTCAACTTCTACAAATTTCTGTTATCAGCACTATGCGTAAAGTTGATGTGATCTCGTAAAAATATTTCAAACACATTTACAACGTTGTGCAAACGTTTGATGTCATAATAATACCATTTTATTAATAATGCTTTATACTCGACCTAGCATCAAAAGTACTTACAACGCTGTTCTCAACTAAAACTTTGACTTTTGTATTCTTAAGAGTCATCATTATAAGATTTACCAGTTTTGATGGAATTTTTAAATCATCAAAAATACTTTTTATTTTACATCTCTTAAGAGAATCAAAACCTGGTTTGAAATCTATGAACAGCACGTGAAGATCTTTGTTATATTCTGCGAACTTGTTTCCATAGAAGATTTGATCGATTGTTGACCGATTTTCTCTAAAACCACTTTGATAATCTGAGATTAATTTTTCCATGTAGTGTTTAAATCGGTCCGCAATGATGGCAGCAAGAACTTATGTGACACGTTCAGGAGAGTTATGCTTCTATAATTCGAGCAACTCGTTTTCGGACCTTTTTTATGCAGCGGTATTATTATTCCCACTCACAGGCATTTTTACGCTGTTCCAAACCAAAATGACCCTATTGTTTCAGGTTACCAGAATAATACAAATTATAATTTTTTCTTTCTATTTTTCATTATCCTTTCTATCGGATTTCTTGAAGTGCGCCAATATCAAAAACAAATTTTATCAATTCTTCCATTTTTTCAGCATGTAAAAGTGTTCTCACGTTCCATGTTCCTAAGTTCAATTTTTTATCCAAATAATTATTCCTGTATATATTACCATTAATTCCATGTGTAACTGAGGTTGGCATTCGGGTGGAGAGGCTATTTCTTCGCATCACATATCCCCCATATGTATGTACATATGAATATACATATTAAATAAAACTTTATATTATCACAATTCGACATCAAACTACATATTATTTTCTGAACATTCCGTGTTAATTCTTTATTAAATTTTAAAATTAAAACGCGCTTTATGTTGAACTTGAACAATTAAAAGTTGTTGATTTTATTAAATAATAACGTTAGTACTGAACAGTTTAATTAAAAAAAAATTTTGTTTCAGATAACTTAGCGTATACATATCTATATGTATATAAATGAGAGCAAATTTAATTTTAAAATACGGGTCAAGTGGTTAATTCACTTAACAATGCTCTTTATTTTTTAAAAATTTTTTCAGTTAATTGAAGTTTTTTCTTCTCTATATTGTTTTCTTTCTTCTTTATTCTCTATTTGTTTTAATGAACATACAATTCGTATAAGAAACATACTCAAGAGAATATGCCTGGCGTAATATTAAAAACGAAATTCTTATTTTTTTGAAAATGTCACTAATTTTTCAAGAGATAGCCTAGTCTGTATAACATATCCATATAGGTACATAATGTACATATGCTACATACATTACGTTATGATGACCAGACGTTCCTCATTCGTTGGGACTACTCTCAATCTGCAATCTTTGTCTTATATCAGATAATAATCTGATTAGATTTTAAGAAACATGTAGAAAAAGGTTTGAGAACTTAAACAAACTTATTTTGCTTATAATAGCATGTTAAAAAAGTTTGTGTTAGTCAATATCTTAACAATACAGAAGGCAAGGAATTTTAACAAAATTTTACAAACTGTTTTTTATTACAGAGTTAAAAAAATGAGTTTTTCCAAAAAGTAGAACTTACTCCTCGAAAAAAGAGAAATATAAGTACGTACTTCTTCTAAAAAACAATTTTTTACTTGGCTTCCAGTTAAATCGATTTTTTTCACTAAAATACAAAATTATTTAATATAATAAGAATTATTGCACACCTTCGGATAAGCGAAAGTTAAGATTCACGGCAATAATATAACAACGGTCCATAAGGTGAATTAAGAGAGATTTTTATTTTTTGATAATAAGACATTCGTTACCTCTCAAGGTAATTTTTTTTTTAAAGCAATAAATTTCTAGTAAAGATTTTTTTTCAAAAGTATTTTAAAAAACTGCTCTTTCATGCAATATCAAAAACATCTGGCCACTATACGTTATGCATATACACTGTGCATACACAAATTAAATTCATCATCTGTATTAATAAAATACGTTACTTAATATCTTATTTTGAATTATATTATCCTGTCTCCATCATTGTAATCATTATAACATTAAAATAGTAACAAAAAAAAAGAACCTTATAGAAGATGAACAAAAAAAAATCTTAATCACATTACGTAATGAGGCAGAGTATATAAAAATAAAGCGTATAATTTTGTAATACTAACTTCTCCAAAACTTTTTTAATTGTGCATACCTATTACATATTGTACATAATTATGTCAAAAACAGATTTTAATTCGAATGTTCTAAACAAAACGATCAATTATTTATTCAGTTTCTTTTATAATATATTTTATAATACTGCAGAAATACTAAAAGTGTTTAAATAAAAAGGTGCCTTATACCTATTTATCCAACATATTTCAAATAATCCCAATATTATGCTAGGAAAAAGAAAAACCAAAATATTTATGTACACATAGAATTATCTAAAATTAAAAACAAAAGAAAAATTCTGTAATAAGTAAAAATTTTTAGTTTATTTTTAAATTAAAAGGTCAGAAACTTGGCAAACTTTATTAATTTTCAATTTGACATTTTAAATTTAAAAATAATATAAAAAAGAAATAATTAAAACTTTACGTGTTTCCCACGAAAAAAAGCTTATAAAATATTTTGTTTTGTCTTTTTCATAATACAAGGAGGGAAGCTTTTTTCAAAATTTTTCTATTTAATTTAATCACAGCCGTTTTACACAACTACTTATACTTTTTGCAAGTTCATTTTATCTAAAATTTTTATTGTAAAAAACTTTCAAATATCAATTTCAAAATCTAAAATATTGTAAAAAGCTGTCAAATTATCTCACCTCAGTTGCAATTTGCAATACATAGTTTGAAAAAATAAATGTAATTAAATGTAACTAAATAATCACATTCAAACATACAAAATTTGGTTTCAAATTTTAGAACAATTTTAGAACAATAAGCTTTAATTGGTTATGTTCTTTATGAAAAACAAAACAGCGCAAAAAATTTCATAATAAAAACTTTAATTCATAAATTAAGCTCAAAATCCGAAAAATATTTTCAATTATAGAATTTGGCGGATAAGTTTTTGAAAACTTTAAATGAACATATATATATGCGTTTATACGTTTAAATATATGTATATAAATATTTATACGTTTTCAAGCTTGAATTCTAAAATTTTGATAAGAACTGTCATAAGAAACTAAGTTTTCTGGTTAAAGTCGAACATTATTAAATTTTATAAATACTCGTGTATTACAGGTTTAAATTTCTTGAATCAAAATGATGAAACTAGGTCAGAATTAAATTAATAGAATCCTAAGTCATTCGAATATCGAACGTAATAATATTTTATTATATTTTATATTCAAAAATTATAAAATCATTTTAAAAACAAATACTAATGGTGTATGTTTTTGTTTTTTGTTCCATTAGCTAAAATTGGAATTTTCTACACAGTATTCTATGGTGTCTTAGCAGCTTTAGTTGCCATTTGTATGTGGGCATTTTTCCAAACATTGGATCCCCGTAGACCAAAATGGACTTTAGAGAGTTCATTAATTGGAACAAACCCTGGTAATTATTATTGTTAAAGTAATAAAATAATAAATAACTATATTAAGAAAATATAAAGATATTCTTATTGTATTATACACAATATTTGTAAATTTTATTTAAAATTTATTAAAATTGTAATATAATTTTAGGTCTTGGATTTAGACCACAACCACCTGAAGAAAATATAGAGAGCACTTTAATTTGGTATAAGGGAACGGAATATGAAAATTATAAGCATTGGACAGATTCATTAACAGAATTTCTAGGAGGTATACATTACACTTACATGTAGATTAATTCTTTGTATTCCTAAATATCGTAACAATGAAAATTTTTAATGTATATAGTATACAAAACTCCTGGTATGACGGCTGGCAAAGGTCAAAATATTTTTAATTGTAATTACAATCAGTTGCCGCCATTAGGACAAGTTTGTGATGTTGATATTAAGAGTTGGGAGCCATGCACTCACGAAAACAACTATAGCTATCATAAAAGTTCACCATGCGTTTTCTTAAAACTGAATAAGATATTCGGTTGGATCCCAGAATTTTATAATAATTCAAAAGACTTACCAAGTAATATGCCAAATAATTTAAAAGAGTATATTGCTGATATGGAGAAAACTCAAAAGGAAAAAGTATATATACTTTTCAAATATTAACTCCATAAATTATAATTCTGTTTCTTTTTTTTTTTTAATTTTAATACTAAAATTAAATTTTCTCTTTATAGATGAACACAATTTGGGTATCATGTGAAGGTGAAAATCCATCAGACCAGGAATATATTGGACCAGTTGATTATATACCAATTCGTGGTTTTCCTGGGTATTACTATCCATATTTAAATTCTGAAGGCTACTTAAGTCCACTTGTCGCTGTTCATTTTCAACGACCAAAACGTATTATAACACATTAAAACAGAAAACTAAAAATATATTTAAAAGTTTCACAAATAATGTTGATATTTTAAAATTCGTTTTTTTATTTTAGGAGGAATAATTATTAACATCGAATGCAAGGCTTGGGCACGTAACATTATTCATGATCGAAAGGACAGAATAGGATCAGTACATTTCGAATTATTAATTGACTAAGAAAGTTTAGCAGAACAATTTATAATTAAATTTTTTATATTATAATTAAAATAATATAATTAATATTTTTGTTTCTATATATATGTATATGTAAAAAAAATATTTTAATTCTTTCGCTCTGTACGAAAGTTACATTACAATCCATTCAAATGAGTAACTATCATACATAAATACTTATATTTACCTTAAGAAACTCGCCCTTTTTTAATTTGACATAAAAAGCAACGATGTGTATGACATACTCGTACAAACAGAATAAAAAAAAAACAAAACCGCAACCATTTCAAGAATTTAATTTGAATAATTTTACTAAAAGATTATTTAGATATAATTTTTAAATTAAATTATTATTTTACCTTACATGCAATTAAAATTTATGATTTTATTTCTTCTTAAGGCAAGATATTTCAACTAATTTCAAAATAAAATATTTAAAATAATTTCTAAAATATACACAAGAAATTTCTGAAAACTTTAATATTATTAGTTCAATTCTGTTCAGAAACTTGACAATTTTTAATTCTGAAAATTTTTGCACTAAAAATCTGTACCTGCACCTTTTAGATTTAAACGTTATTATTTAAATTATATAAGAAAAACAATTGTTTCAACAATTCGAATAAAAAATTTAGTATATTGCAATAAAAATTAAAAAATAATTAAAATGTAGTAAAACACGTCTGAAAACATAAAATTTGAGAAACCATTTTGAAAAAGAAAAATTTTATATAATGAAAATGTGAAAATATTTTTCTGTTTTAAGCATTTTGCAACCAAAATAAATAAAAATCTTTATTAAGAATGTTTCTTTAATAAACCAAAAAAATCTAAATAAAGCTGTAATTTTACATATTTTTTAGCTTCAATTTATTCTAGAATAAGAATTAAATAATAAATTAATATAATGTGCCTTATTGATTAATCGTTCAATCAAACATATGTATTTCTAAAAATAAAAAATTAGAATTTACTCTATTTTTTACATATTTCTTTATATTGTCCCCACAATGATTAGCTCATGATTGCTCAAAATAACAATGTTTAAACCATTATTTAAATTAACTTTCGCGAGATTTTAAAATGCCATAACTTCGGTTTGGTGTTGGAATTTACATAAACACATGTTATTCTAATAATTTTAGGTAAATTAAGATAATTTTAGAGATTTGTGAGTTTACCCGTGTGGGGACGATATTTTTCAATTAAAATTTAAATACGAAAATAAGTTTTTATTCTAATTTTTTATTTCATTAGATATATACGTTCAGATCGATATTTATTTTAATATGCTCCGTATCTCATGGAAAAACCTGTTTATTATATTATAAATTATACCGTACAAAAATAAGTTGTCCAACGAAACCGGAAAGTTCTTTTCGCGGAGTGAATAATTTTGAAATACAAAGAAGAAGGAGTTGACTGTATAACTCAAGCATGAATTTATTTTCTTAAAGATTCTTTCAATTAACATTTATACATGTGTTATAGAAGATATTTTACATTCTATATACTCAAACTGCCATTTCGGGATTTTTTTATAGTTGAAAATGCTTTAATTACCTATATTTTATTTTGGATGTTCAAAAGCTTAAAATCATAATTCAAAATTTAATAAAAATCTTATAACTTCCAAAATAACAAATTTTAAAATTCTCAGGATGGGTCTTTTGGGACAACCTTTCCTCCCTTCTACTTGTAATATAAAATTGAGTAAAATATTTTAATTTTAATTATATTAGATTGTAAAATAGAAAAAGTAAATACAAAACTACAAAAAAAATTATAAAAAGCAATCAAATTTCGAATATAAATAAAATTTTTGTTGTTCATTAAAATAATTCAGTTACAATTATAAGATAAATAATAGCTAAAAGATAAAATGTTTAATAAGTCGTTAATTATTAATAATAAAATATCAATGTTGAATGACGATTATAGAATTTCATGGAAAACTTTTAAATAAAACAAAATAAAAACACATAAAAATTGTATTTGTAAATTCTAAATCTTTATGAATAACAATTAAAAGCTTAAAAATTTTATCTACATTGCACTAAAATTAATACACATTGCACTCATAGACGTGGAGAACTATCAATGTCACATCAATACATTCAATAGTTTTCAAATATCGCAACGATCGAGGTTTTTATTTCGTTAAATAAATTATTTAAAATCTTGTTAAGGTGTTATTAATTTTTTAAATGGAAAATTTAATGGGCAAGAAGGTATCAATATTCTATTAAATTCTGGTCAAAAATTTTAAATTTGAAGAAAATCAATTTATGTCTCAGTATTTTAAAATTAATTTTCATGGCACTAATGTAATGCATTATACAATGCAGTTTGTATATTACAGTACTATTGATACATAGCGATACTTTTGCAACGAAAATGTCAATGGTTTAATATATCGATTGTTCTCCAACACAACATTGCAGTAGACAACTTACTCTATATACGAAAAATAAAAAGCTCTTTAACTTGTAATAAATTTATTTAATTTCAAATATAATATATACCAAATCAATAATCTATTTTGAAAGTGAACCCATAGTCCATTTACAACATTCCAGCTTGTAGATTTAGTTCGAACATTTCATTTACAATAATATGACTTATAAAATAAACAATTCAAATATAGGTATAAGGTGTTTGTAAATTAAATTTAAACCTAAAATTTTTGTTTAACAATAAATTAAAAATACACTTAAAATAATCGCATTTAAACATAAGATGTATTCAAACATACATGTAAAAATTACAATTTTATAAAAAAAAATCTAGGGCACAAGTGCATAGATTAATAGATACATACATAAAATAGATATTTTATAAAATACATACTTCACTTCTTTACAAGTACTACAATCTTGAAAAAATATCAACCTCATTGCCTAATCTCGATATAAATTTTAAGTAATATAAATGATTGACGAAAATAATTCCTAATCAAATATCAATTTTAAATATTTTATCTATAGAGTATAGTGTAAATAGAATAGTTCATAAGATGCCAAATTGAATTCGTACAAACGGAAAATAAAAATAAATAATTTTTAATAAATTTGTGCTCTGGCAATCACAGCTTTTCTATAGAATAAATAAAATTTAAGATTTAAATTCAATCGGAACAAAATAGAAAGGGTAAAAATAAGTGAAAGAAAAAGAATGAAACGAATAAAAACTCATAATGTTTATTAAATAGAAGAGAGTTAAGTAGAAAACAAAATCAAATGGAAACCAAGATTATAAGAATGAATTCAGTATTAGTTTTCTTCTCGATTTGTTACTGGACATGTGTTTTTTTATAAAAAGGTTGGAATTTTAATAAGCAATTCCAAACACCTTAATTGAAAAAGTTTTAAAACTTCCACGTTTTACTTGTAAAACAGCAACTATAAGTTCAAAATGGTTTTGTTTTCACTGAGTGCTGAGGGAGTGAAAATTTATTGAAAATAGAATAATGATTAAACTCTATAGTTAACTTGATCGAATCTGCAAAATATTATAGGAAATTCATTAACAAATAAATGTTAATTAAAAATTATTATCACTACTAGACTTCAAAAAAATTTTTTGTAAACAAAAGATTTAACTCAATGTTTGGTAATTTTTCCTAAATTATTTTTTACACAAAAAAAGAATCATAAATCATAAAAATATTAGCATATTGCACGAGACAACCTTACAACACAGATACATATGTATTGCCATAGTTTGACATGCTTCTAGCGATAAAAACTGGTTGAAATCGAGATAGTCGACAAAATTGCATTTTCTGCCTTGTTTTATTGTACAGCATTCTTCACATTAGTTGCTATTTTTATACCCTGAACTTCGTGAAGGGTATATTAACTTTGTTTGTAACTGAGTTTGTAACTACTTGAAGGAGTCATCTGCGGTATGGACATATATATATATATTCTTGCTCAGCGTAAAATTCTGCGTCGATTTAGACATGTCCGTCCGTCCGTCCGTCCGATCGCACGATAACTCAAAAACGAATAATGCAATCGACACCAAAGTTTCACAAGTTTTTTCTTTTGTGCCAAGGACGAACCCTATTGTTATTGGAATAAGTCGGCCAACGGGTTCGGGTAGCTGCCATACAACTCCATGAGTTTATTTTAAATATTTCAAAAACTAATAAAGCTATAAATATAAAATTTTGTATACATGTGTCCAATTATATTCTACACATGCTCTAAAAATTATAATGGGATAGCTGCACCGGTTCGGGTGGCTGCCACACAACTCCAATAGCAAATTTTTTATATTCGGCAAAATAATAAAGTCAGATTCATGAAACTTGACAGTCATGTGTCCAATTAAAGGTCAAATATATTTCTGAAGTTTTAGAGGAATCGCTTGACAGGTTCGGGTACCTGCCATACAACTCCAGAAGCTAATTTTAAATATTTGGAAAAATGATAAAGTCAGATTCATGAAACTTGGCAGTCATGTGTCCAATTATAGCTCAAATATATTTCTGAAGGTTTGGTGGAATTGCTCGACAGGTTCGAGTAGCTCCCATACAAGTCTAAAAGCTTATTTTAAATATTTGGAAAAACAATAAAGTCAAATTCATGAGACTTGGCAGTCGTGTGTCCAATTATAGGTCAGACATATTTCTAAAGTTTTCGTGCGATTGCTTGACAGGTTCGAGTAGCTCCCATGCAAGTCTAAAAGTTTATTCTTAATATTTGGAAAAATAATAAGTCAGATTTATAAAACTTGGCAGTTGTGTGTCCGATTATAGATCAGATATATTTGTGAAGTTTTGACGGAATTGCTTGACAGGTTCAGGTACTTGCCATAAAACTCCAAAAGCTTATTTTACATATTTGGAAAAATAATAAAGTCAGATTCATGAAACTTGACAGTTGTGTGTCCGATTACAGATCAAATATATTTGTGAAGTTTTGATGGAATTGCTTGACAGGTTCAGGTACTTGCCATAAAACTCCAAAAGCTTATTTTACATATTTGGAAAAATAATAAAGTCAGATTCATGAAACTTGACAGTTGTGTGTCCGATTACAGATCAAATATATTTGTGAAGTTTTGATGGAATTGTTTGGCAGGTTCAGGTACTTACCATACAACTCCAAAAGTTAATTTTAAATATTTGGAAAAATTATAAGGTCAGATTCATGAAACTTGGCAGTCGGATGTCCAATTATAGGTCAGACATGTCCGTGAAGTTTCTATAGAATGATTTCAGAGGTTCGAGTAATTGCTACACAATAACGAAAGGTGCAGGGTATAATTCAATCGGTTTATAGCGACTGAAACGTTTTTACTTGTTTTTATCTTATGCTGCTTAAAAGTACAAAAAGTTTTCGTTTCTCAGAGACATATATTACTCGTATTGCCGATGCAGCATAAAATTTTATTGTTTTCGCAATTATTCATTTCAGTCAACACTACGTAAATTAACTTAAGCATTTTGTCTTGCCAGATTTTATATATAGGCTCTGCACATATAAATTGGCCATATTGTCAGCATATACTTTAGCTATTAGAATAATGTTTTATTACTGCACAAACAAAAAAAATTAGAGTGAAAGTAGTAAGTGATGTTCTGTTACAGAAACAGTCATAATATTTAGCTAAATTTTCGGTGTTACGCAGTAATTTTAGAAATGTTTTGTTTGTACACGTGAAAAATCTCACAAGCTCAATTAAAAATGAATATAGCTACATTTTATATGTCACAATTCACAAATCAGTTATGTATACCACTACAGAATAAATATGTATTTAATATGGAGGCAGAAATATTGCTAATTTTGTAATATTTAGCAACTTCAGACAAAGAGTTTTAGTTACGTTCTTTGTTATAGTAAGGGAGCGGAAGCCTGATGGCTGTGGGGTTTTCTAGATGGAGATTTTGACAGAGCTCAGTGCGCGGAATTGGCTGCAATTAGACCAGCGAAAGGGCTGCAATCTGGCTATCTTTGTGGATGGTAGGGCAGCAATCGGAGCCTTTGCATTCTACTCAGCTAAGGCAGTTAAGGCCGTTTGTGATATGTGTAGGGCGACTGTGTGCTAAGTTCCTGGTCACAGCGAGGTACAGGAAAATGGGATAGCAGATTGTCTTGGAAAGATAATTAGGAATTCAAAATTTGCGTTCTTTTCTATAATCAAATAGCATGGTCTACTTTTGGTAGATTCTGACGAATTTTCTGTTTTAAAATTAATACGAATATATAGAGGATTTTCAGATCTAATAAAGCGACGTCAATAACATTAAATCAAAAGTATATAAGATTTATGTTTTCAACTAAACGTAAAATGTTTATTGAAGTCTTATTATTTCTGTTTTTGCTTATTATTATGTTTTTGCTTATTTTTATTAATTGTCAAAGACGCGTTTTGTGATTAATTTTATCTAATCATTGGTTTTTAAAGTATGATTTTGAGTTCAAGAAAAAAAATTATAGATAAAACTTTTCCATTAAAAATAAATTTTCGGTTAGTAAACGCACGATTCCAGTATTAATAAATATCCATTATTTCAGCAAGAAAAATATATGTAAATAATTACTTACATTAAAAAAACAAATATTATCTACTTAATTGCATAATATACATACATACAAATAATGTATATGAACGCACACGTATATTGATATGCCCGTTGAGGCTTAATAATTGAGCATGTACATATATGTACATATGTAGATATCTTTAATTATGTAAATAAATTAAGAATAAAGGAATGTAATACGATTATTTCAAAATTTTACAATTCTCCTAAGCATCAAAATTACAATTCTTCTAACCCAGTACCTTTTTTCCATATATGCATAGGTTGCATATCAAACCAAATTCGTGCATTAACTATGTACATATACATTTATATATGTATGTATATCATGGGTAGACAAATGTTAATTTGCGCGAACCTCTAAAATTTACATGAATTTACATGAACCTCTAAATACAAATGCACTGTAAAAATATTACAAATATGTATATACATATGTACATACATAACTATGTACATGATTAATTGTAATTATAAACAAATTTAATTAACTAAATTTATTGTAGAATTTAAAATGAATTAAAATACTTACCACTCTTGGAATTTGTGCCCACATATGTTAATATGTACATATGTACTTCTATCTTGAAATTGTTTCCTAATATTTTTCTATTATATCTAACT